TTGTGACTCGGAGAAACTACATGGCACATGTTATGCATTACAACCCATAACAAAATATTTTCCTTCTCAAACAGCCATTGCAGCGGTCGTTTAACATTTTGAATGAAGTCGGTGGAGCTCCTCTTGGGTTGCCAGGTGAGGTGCTGGGCTTGGTTTGAGGTTGCTAGGTAACAAATTGTGACGCCAACAACTTACCGATTTTTAAACAAGCTGTTTTTCAGACACCAGCAGAACATTTACTTGTTCTCAAAAATTAACTGGGCGTCTTTCTTTCTTTCTTTTTGCCCTTGGACTGGAAGCAGGAGACATGCAAAAAGTGAAACTTTGCATATTAGTGGACCTTTAATTCTGGTTTAGGAATGGCTACACAACAGTTAGTTTACAGCCAGGGAATAAAAGTAGGGATGAAATCAAAACCAGTAATTTCAAGAATTGGTACAACTATGCTCATGTGTAAGCCAGACCTCAAATAAAGAAATATTAGTTTGAGGGAGAAGACATCTTGAAGTTTCACCTGCCAAACACAGACAGTGCAGCTTTAACTCTTATGCCCAGGTGGTTTCAAAATCATTTGCACCTTGAAACATGTGACTAAGACACTTCGTGAGCTCGTTAGGAAGCATCTTGCAAGTGACAACAGCCCAAACGTTTCACAGGATGGATGACTTGTGTCAAAAGCAAAGCGTGTGTTGATTACTAGAAGGATTTAAAAACCTGGAAAACCATCATTAGAACTGAGGAAGCCGTTTGAATGAGAAATGAAACTTAAAGACTCCAACTGCCTTGTTTTAAAGGTACTTATAGCACTGAATGGCAACATTTGGCTTATTTGGCACATTTCAAATTAGAGTAAAAGGGCATAAAATTAAATTGACAAAAACGCTATGAGTCAATCTGAAATACACTAGCCATGCCAAAGCATATAAAATGTTTTGAACTATTGGAAGGAAACTTGTGGTGTAACCTAAGTGTGTTTGAGCTTAAGATCACATACTGCTGGCCTAATGTAAGCGGAAACACTCCCCCCCAAAAGGTTTAAAATGTGAGAAAAATCTTTTGTTGTGTTGGATGACATTCCTCCACAAATTCTTATTACTGAATTGATAACACTGACCTTAACTGATGGAAGTGAGGGCTGTGATCCTAAGACCTCCAGGACGAGTCATTGCCACACTCTTAGCTTGGGATGATTATGGTAGGCCGTCCCCTCCTGTGAAAGTTCACCGCTGTTCCATGTTTCCCCAATTTGTGGATAATGACTCTTAATGTGATATGCTGGAGTTCCCAAAGGCTTTCAAGACTGATAGACGTAATAGATTTTGTTTCTCCCTCTGTTTTTGCATTTCATTAGATTGGGGCATGAGGTAATGCTTTCTGAGATCATTGAACCTACTCTGGGCTTTCCTGTTTGAGGGATTCTTCATTCGACAGGAATGAAGAATCATAAAACTGAACTCATCTGTGGTTAATTGGTTAAGTTGATCTATTTAAGTTCAGACAAACTCTTAAAGGGTAAATTTCTCTACACTACTGCATGCTGTAAAATAATAGTAAAACAATTGAAGAAAACCTTAAGCTAGGCAGCTAAACATAACTTTACAACTTTTGCTTTAAAATGTTCTCAACTTGCAATTTTATTCTTTAACTTAACTGTAAGCGGTAGAAAAAAAAACTAATTGTAACAAGTGACTTTAGAAGGGGAACTACATTATAAGTTGCATTGACTTCAAACATGATATTACAACAACTTTTAATGCCACATACTGAAACCAGCTCTTGCCACTAAAGTGTATTCTCTGCAGATGTTGCACAGAATGTATTAGAATTTGGTAAAAAAAAAAAACCCTTAGAGGAAATAAACTACATTTAAAGCACCATTATTGCTTCATGAGCAAAGGTCATTTCGTGGTCATTTCCGGGCATCTGTGGCAATTATTGATTTAAGACAAACAATTGAAAAACAAGTGGAAAAATTGAACATTATGACACGTGTATGTAAGGAAAGGTTCCCCTTTTAAGCCACGACTCGGCGTGGGAGGCTCACAAATATCCTCTGTGCTCTTAATAAGCAACACTTTAATTAGACCAGAAACACAAAGAAAGAAATCTGCCTGTTGAAAACCTGAGTGTTCTCTATCAGAAGCGCTGGCCAATTAACAGAATAATTAACTGAACTAACGTCTCTCTTAAATGACTGTAACAGGCCGCTGTGACAGCGACGAGTGTATTTTAATTAAAGTGCCCTCCAGTTACTGGGTGCATTTATAAAGCCCGCAAGGGATGCTTTTCCAGTGAAAAGATGTGTTCGTTGCAGCATGTGCATTGTGAACGCTTTGTCAACGTGGGCTAAATTGGTCGCATATTGTTCGTCAAAGCTAAGTGGGAACAAAAAACATGAAAAAAAACCCCAACTATTATTCTTCCTTGCTTACACCAAAAAGCTAATCTTCTCTGCCAGCTCTGTGACTTTCCTTATGGGCATCCAATGAAGCATGCAGATCAGTAGAAATTAAAGAGGGATCTGTAATGAAACTCCCCACAAAGCCCTCAAGAGTAACAAAGTAACAAGAAAGCCCATAAATAAGACACACTGAACAAGATCACAAACGATCAAGACGTGCAGGAAGTAGGAAATGGGGTAATAAACGAGAGCAAGAAGTCTTTCTGGTACTTTATTGATGGGTCTACGTTGAGTCTCCATGGAGAGAAATGTTTCAGAGTGTAACGCAGAAATGTCATGTAGCTGTCACATGCTATATTTAAATTAAGGGATGGAATGTCTCTATTAAAGGCACTCAGTTTGAAATGCAAATCAATGACATCCTTAAGAGCCCTGGCTTTGAGATGATGGAAGACTGAGTTCACTTTCTTAACTGCATGATTTATAAGACAAACTAGTGATAGTTTTTGAAGTTAGCATGTAAAGCCTAATTCTTTGATGTTTAAATGGCAGATGTTTTCGATGCCAGTGTCCTCTTTTCTTTTTGGGATGAAAATATCAAACGATTACGTTCGGAAAACATCTTTTTGCTCTTCAAAAATTGATGGACACCTTTGAGGGAGTCTCCAAATATAAGCAGCTGATTCTACAAATGGAGATCACCACCTGGACTTCCTCTTGCCGTATTCAAGTCATGGCTTTCAGTGCACACTAGGCCAATTTGTAGGCAAGTGCGAAGTGGCGAGGGTCTGAGTCAGTTCCTCCAAGTCCGTTGTCATGGTTTACAACTGGATTGCTCTGCCTCAAGCTAAAGAGCTCAAGTATCACCATGAGCGATATTAGGATAGAGAATCAGATGGACTGGCAGTGGAGCCCTATTTGCAGTAACTACTCTTCTGTTGTAGTGGAATACGAGCTCTGCCAAAAAGGTGCAGCTCTTAATTTGCTTCACTCACTCATTCTGGCAGCTCTGCTTGGCTTGACCAATGCCTGTCTGGTATTGAAAGAGTTATAATTTAGGGTAGTTATAGGAAAACTTTTCCACCACCATTAGAGTGCTTCTCTTCCTCACTTAAGTACTTATTACTCACTTGCATGCCTGAGGTAATCCTAAGAAGTAGAGGAAAAGAGGCTGGTATCAGGATAAGCTGAGACAAGCCTCCAGGTTGCAGATTCCCTGATTGGACTGGGGCTGTCCCTCGTTTTTGCCACAGGTTGCTCTTCAGGGTTGAGGATTCTGTTGATTACGGCCAGACTGTTCTGCTCTTGCCGCTTGCTCCACTAAACCAAAAGTTTGTCACAGTCTTTGACCCTATTGTTTTTTAAAACAAAAGTTTTTTGGAACTATTGGAAAAAAGCCCCACCATGGATCCAACATTACATCTAAAAAACAGGCCAATTCACAAACTTTGTTTTAGGTGAAAGCTTCTTAAGAAGGCATGAGCTACTAATCTTACAGTGTAACTGCAAAACAACAACAAAAAAACAATGTCCATCAGGTTTCCAATCCACTCCAGTGTTCTTACCTGCTTCATTGAAGCAGCGGTTACCACTGATATATCGGTAGATTGTGGAGACTACACAGTCCTGGGTTTTCTGGATCTTTCATTTCCTCACTTTTAAACAGCTAGTCATAATCTGATAGTCAGAGACTGATTGGGATGTCTGGTTCTGTTCTAAAGGGGTTTTCATTTTGCATTTCAAGTAGAAGTTGATGTAGAACGTATCAAGAGATTCAAATTCAGACAAACCAGAGGTTTGACTGAGTCTTTGGAGCTATGTGGAGTTCTTTCAGGCTCCATGCTGGGGCCTATGTCGTTCTTAGCATGTATAATTCCTTTAGGCCATATAACTGAGCCGCTTAACAAACATTAAGTAGTGGTTGAATAATCTACTTACAGATGAAGCCAGATTTTGACACCGGACAATGGCATGTATGACAATACACTGAGTGACTCAGGGCTATTGCTGAAACATAACCTCAAAAATGTAAATGAAAATGTATTTTTGGTTAAGCTTTTTCTCTAGAACGTAATTTAAAATACATTGTGAGAACATCTCAAAACTTCTATCAAGAGTGTCAACAAGTGAACTTGAATGATGTGTTTACTTGTTCCTACAAGAAGGCCCTTGGTCGTCTTCAGGTTGTCAAAAACTCTGCTGCAAGGATACCGGCTCGCTCAAAAAGATGAACTCGTATAACTTCTATTTTAAAGTTGCTGCACCGGGTGCCAATCAGATCGAGGTGTCATTTTAAATTTTTAGTCAGAGCTATGAGGAGGAGACAAGATCCTTCCTATTTACCCAATTTAGATGAATGGAATGTCTATAGAACAACAAGTCATGCTGGAAGTTACATTTATAGCAGTAGCCCCTACACAAGTGGGAAAGAATTGATAAATGTATAGTTCTATCCAATCCATCAATCTATTTCTGCACCTGCTTAATCTTTTCAGTAGTCAAGAGACACAGGACGGGCTAAACCCTGGACAGGTCACCAGTCCATCACTGGGCAAGATGGATTGTATAGGGAAAAACATGTCAGACCAGAGGGAAAAAATGTGTTTGTTTCTCAAGTTTATTTTTATTTGTGGTTATCAAAGACAATGCCCAAGAACATAAGTTATGAAAAAAGCCTTCATGGTGGGGAGGTTTAATATGACATAGCACTTAAAAAAAAAAAAAAAAACATTTAAAATCTTAAAACAGCAAAGTAAAAAAAAAAAAAAAAGAAAAAAGAAAAAGGAAAACAAACGACAATGGTGGAGGCAGAAAAAACGCCTAAAAAGGACATAATCGTCATTGGAGTGCTTCTTTCTGGTGAGCCTCGGGACGGCTCATGTATCTGTGCACCATGAGTTTATCACTCTTCATACAACCTAATCATTGTCTGTTATCGTCAGCAGTGGAGTGACAGGTGTTGGTGGTTTGATCTAAGTGCTAAGGGCCGATCAGGGTCCCCTCTGCCGCCGCCCGGACACCGTTCACCCAGACATACGAAAACCAATAACCAGGCACATGGTCATGACATGGCCCCTTAGATTTAAACCTCACACACAGGCACACATGATCACACACATCCTTCTCTGCTTTTCACTCTCTCTCTCTCACACACACACACACAAACACGCACACACACTGTACAGTATACAATGCACAAGCCCCAGACGCACAAAATTAAGACAGTTATAAACACTTGATAAAAGCACATCATGGTTTCAGTAAAATTAATTGCACGTGATGACATGAAATGGAGGAAGCACGGTGAGATGACGAGAAGCATGGCAAGAAGTGGATACAGTACATTCAGTAAACAAAAGACAAAGAAAAATACATGAGGAAAAAAAACAAGGCAAGGTTAGAATCAAAACCACTGGAAAGAATTAAATAAAAATCAAAACACATAATTAGATTTTTTTTGTTTGTTTGTTTGTTTCTTCAGTCGTTGATTCGAAGCTCGTACTGGGGCGTGCCAGGCTTACAGTAGTCCCAGTGTCGTTTCAGGACGGACAGCTCGGACCGCTTGCGTGGAGATCTCAATTGTTTTTTTTTGTTTTGTTTTTTTCTTTTTCTCTCGATTTGTTTTAAAAATCAATGTTCACGTCTACGTATCTCTACAAACCCGACGTCGACGCGTCAGGCCGGGGGAGGAAGAGTGGGGGGGGGGGGCACTGGGGAGAGGGAGCAGTGGTAGGGTGCAAGTCTTCCGTGACCTGACGAATGCACAGGCATTTACAAAAGTGCACGCACACGCATTCGCAGACACACACACACTCACACACACACGCACGCACGCACACACACACATACAGAGTGCATTTTGTTCCTATCACCCCTGGGTGCAGGCTTTTTCTTTTCTTCTCAGCTTAGCGCAGCGTGTACGCCTCTTTCTTCTGTACAAAAAAAAGGCAGCCTCCTTCCCTGGAACCGGAGACTACATGTTTCTCCATACTCTTCTTCTTTTTTTTTTTCCTACTATCTTCCTTTTTTTTTTTTACTTGTTTTGAGAGTTGAGCAGTTTGTCTGCCTCGGGGTACAGCGGGTACTTCACCGTCTCAATTTTCTCCTTGACCTTGTAGGAGGGGTAGAGGCCTGTGCGTCCCAGCTTGCGGTTGATGCCTTTGGAGTATCCGTCCCAGTGGTTGCCGGCCACGCCGATCACGTCGCCAGGCTCCAGAGGAATGTCCTCGCTGTTGCGTGGCTGGTGCGGGTAGATGGCGATCTGATTGTGGGCGTTCTGACCTCCGAAATAATAAATGTCATCTAGGGAGTAGAAATAAGAGGAGGCGTCCGGGTGGAGTGTCTGCATGATCTCATAGGCTACACGGCAAACCTGACAAAAAAGCAAAACATAAGCAAGGATCATTTTTACAGTCTAAAAAGGTGATTTAGATGCCCTGCAAAATAATTCATACTTTTTAAACTTTTCCACATTTTGCCACAATACAACAAAATGCTTTAATAAGTTTTGTTGAGATTGTATGTAATTGACAAAAATATCTTACTTTTTTTTTTAACAAGATGGAAAATGACCCATAGTGTTTGAAAGTGTCTAATGGGTTTTTATTCAACCCCCTTTACTCTGCTATCCTTAAATATAACCAAGAGTAAATTGAGTCAAGTTTGTTTGAATACCACATTTCAGCAACAAGGCAGCTCAATCAAACGTAACACAATAATAAATTATGAAAACAAACAACATGTGAAGACACAGTTGCACTAATCATTTTGTCTGAAGATAAACGCATGGAGGAAGTGTTCCAGAAATGTTCTTCAGGTGATAAAAGGCCGACTTTGTAATTGAGTTTATGTGTTTCTGAAGGTTCAGATCTGAGTCCATCACTACACCCAGACTTTGGGCCTAACTCTAGAGAACAACTTCAGTTTTGTTTCTTTTCAGCTGACGAAAAATGTTATGGCACATCCACACACTGATTTGCTGCACGCCTTTGTTCGTTTCTTGGATGGGTTCATAGTCATCTGGTGACATTATAATGTAGAGCTGTGTATCATCTGCGTAGTTACGGCAACTTATCTGATTTGTCATAATGGAGCATGTAAATATTAAATAGAAATGCCCCCAGGACTGAACCCCACATGTGACTTCTAAATTATAGTTAATCTCAATAATTTCTGTGGACTGCTGTTGTGGTTGGAACATGACAAGAGGTGAAAAAGGTCAAGTGGTTTGAATACTTTAGCAAAGCACTGTATGGTGCAGTCATGGCGACGTGGAGCCTCCATTTCTTTCTACAGAATAAAGGGATAACATAAGATGAGCTAAGCACCTTACTCTGTGAGATCTTTGATGTAGGTTTATATACCGGGATTATACCCCGGCATCAAGGAGCTCTCACTTTATTTTTAGGACTGGAATAAGGCCTTTGCACTTCACATTAAAATTTGCAATAAACACGACTGAGGAAGCCAAAAATAACCAAAGGAGTGATGCGACATCAAAGCTGTAGTAAATGGGTTAATTGTTTCTGCGCTTTGAAACATGTGAGGGGAAATAGGACAATGGGGTTGTTGACAATCACGAGTGTCTTTAATGAAGTCGTTCCAGTTTGGCTTGTGACAAAGCAAAAAACATTTTTTTCCAGCTGTAAAATATTTTCTGTCAGCAGACGTCATCAGAAGACGAAATGCACGTCAGATAATTTTTTTTTTAGTGCAAGAATTAATGTATGTGATTTTCAAAATCAGACAGTTCTGGGGCAATTTGTTGTCTAAAGTTGCAAAGAAATCGCCACCCATCAACCAACATGTATTGTTTCCCATATTACACAACTTTCAGTTAGATTTTTAACAAACTCCATTAAGAAATGTCGACTGCGGCGAGCAAACCTGCGAGGAGAACGTGCAGACCAGGAAGTCCGTCTGAGACAGGAAGTGGATGTCCAGAATGACGCCTCTCAGCGAGTTCTCGGTGTAACGGTTGTGAAGGCCCGCTGACCACGAGATGGAGTTATCGCTGATGAACTCATAGTCCGGATACCTGAGGGAAGAAACAAACAAATGAAGATAATGGGTGCTATTTAAGGTGGTTTAGCCTACTTCATGTCGTCAGACAGGTTGTATTTAAGTGATTTCTTGATTCAACAGGAATGGGTGTTGCTATTTAACTGAAAACACTTCAAACTTAGTCACTTAAGCCACCCATAGTTAAACAAGTGGGGCGATCATATTTTTACACAGTGATTTGGGTAGTTTTTTTTTTTTTTCCTTTAATAAAAATAGATCGTCATTGAGATATATTTAAGTGTGACCAAAAAAAAAAAAAGCAGAAAAATAACAAATATGTAAGGGAAAATACTTTTTCACTGCACTTTAGCTGTGACTCCATGCAACACAAACACTCACTTTGTCTTAGCTTCCTGCAGCAGGGAGGGATCGTCTGTGGCCAAATAAACCCGCTTCTTGTCAAGATTGGCGCGTCTGGCTAGAAGCTGGAATTGCTCCTCCACGTGCTTCATGTACTCCTCTATTGGATGGAAGGCTGCCTCCGTGCCCACCTTATCCGTCCTCCTCACATGGACCCTGCAAAATCAAAAGCGCACATGACTGTATAGACGAGCGCCGCAGGTCACAGACACAATTTCGGTGAAGTCATTTTTACTTTGATAGGTGGCTGGTGTTTTTTTTTTTTTTTCCAAAAGAAAAACAAAAAGTCAAACACGTGAATTAATATTTTAAATTTAGTAAGTTGAATAAAGTTGTTTGTTGCATAATGCGTCCAATCTGAGAAGAATCACCCAAAAAATTATTAAAAGAATAAAAGTTAATGACTGATCTTGGCAGTTCGTCAGAACTGCACTTCCACCTTGAGTGCACAAACAGCAGTCTGCCTTTTATGCCAAAATATAATCAAATTATTAATTTTTGTCATCGATTTGTCCTTTTGATTTCCTATAATGTGCTGATTGCTGAAGCAGAATTAAAACTTTTGAAAAATGTTGTTTTATACCGTTTGTCTACAAAAAAAAATAAATAAAAATTGTTTCTTTTGTCCTAGTCCATTGTGGAAATTCCAGTTAAGTTGTTCAACACAAAATTTTATTGTGGTACAATACAAAGAAGTTCTCGCGCTATAATGAGTAATGTTTTGGTGCAATTATTTTTAGGCATAAATCTATTTTAATTTTTAATACAAAATGTGAGACGAGGTAAAAGAGATTTTGCTTGTAAGAACATTTTTAAGAAAATAATAGTCAAGGTGATGGAAGCTATGTGTGACAGCAGTCACATTATTTGTTGAATGGAAAAAATAATTAATGATTTCATAAACAACTAAAATAAACAAATACAAACAAAGGACTAAGACACAACAACATTAATGCTTTAAGCTTCCTTTCCTGGAATCTTTTTTTTTTTTTTTTAATTCTCCAGCTGTTTTAATAAAATAAAATCCCACTTAAATTACCTACTTTATAAATGATTTCACTGTTGCAGCAAGGGAGCTATAGGAGAAAAACAAAGCTATGAGGAAACTGTGGCAAAGCGGGGAACTATAGTAGAAATCATAGGGAGATTCAAAGACAAAGGAAAGAAAAGAAATAATGAGCAAAGTTGTCGTTCTTTTCAGCACCCTGTTCATCGCTTCCAGGGAAGAAGGAGAGAAACGGAGAAGCCGTGGTCACAGATTCACACGCGAGGACAAGAGCGCAGCTTGAAAACATAAAAAGACAAGAACTCCCTCTCTGGCACAGAAACATCCCTCAAACTGATGGAGGATGGAACTTAAATTTCCTTCTATCCTGAATTATTCAATGACGAAACCAGCCGCCACTAAATCTGCATTGTGACATTTAGTTTCGGGGAGCAAATGAAATGTCCAAATCTGAGAGATCTCCCATTTAAGTCGGAAAGCCCAACCTTTCCACGAACCAAGTATTTGTAAGGACATCCAGAGTTAGGAAACTCTCAGAGCAGCGACGTAAAAAAAAAAAAAAAAATCTTTTACCAACCAGCAGAGTGAATGTGAAAGACATTCTAGTAGCTAATTGGTGCTAACTGGGGCCTGTTCTCTTAATTTTGAAATAAGTTGTGATTTTCTTGGCATCGTTTTCCCGTTTGACCACCCAACACTGTCCTGCATTAGTCTGGCTAGAAGATTATTTGACAGTGGAGAGGGAGATTTGGAGGTAGTTGTCCTTCCTAATTAAAAACCACTTTGTGAAATGCAGCAGGGAAACAGTAAGCGCCACACTTAACAGCTGGCTCTTCAGTTTGAAAGGATCCTCGTATTTTAGGGTTCCGACACATTTTCCATTTCAACATTTTTACTTTTCCAGACCAGATTTTGCTGGCAGATTTTCAAATGTTTTGGACATTAAAGACAGATTTAGATTTACCTTGACATTGCTTAAAGTTTAGTAGTTTAAAGTAGTAGTAGTTTTGAATACTGTTTATTTTACAGTTTGTGGTCTTTGATGCTTTTTCTGCAAAAAAAAAAAGAAAAAAAAAAAAGAAAAGAAAAGTGGAGTCTTAATGTTTTGTTTGGTGGCATCTAAGCCAGACTTAGTTTTAAAATGAAAGAGGCAGCTGAATAAATAAAAAGCATTGAAACGGCCCTTACTTGATTCCTCAGTGTGTTTTTAGCTTTGGGTTGCCAGTCAGTAACTCAAGACAACACAGTGATGGATGAAATATTAAACTACAGTTGTGTTGTGGAAAGTATAACAAAAAACCATGGCATTACAATAACTAATACAAAATGCACAATGTTTGTAGAAAATTTGATTTTCAGAAGTTATGAAGCCTGGGGTGGAAGAAAGTCTGGAATCTCTTTCTTGACACAAGAAACTTCCTCGTCATTGGGGCCTAAGTAGTTCGATCTTTGTCTTCCCAAGCTGAAAACAGTTTCTCCAGAAGCCAGTCACCTTTCACATGCAACCAGCTGCAAAATTTTGTTGAGTTCTCTTTAAAGCATGGTCTACATTTTTGGCCAGCAGCGTCTTGGCCTATGGCAAAGTGAAAAATCCTTTACTGTAGACAATGACAGCGATGTTCAATAGGTTTCTGGCAAGCAAACGCTTGCACATTTCCCCTCTGGGAACTGCAAAAACCCATCCACTGGGTCAAGGATCCACCAGAACATCTTGGGTGAGGAAATCCTCAGAGGGGCAAAGAGTTGTTGTCTTTTATCTGTTCAGCATCTTTCAACCGATTTACAGATCGCAGCGACTTCTTTTAACCGCCGTGTTGCATCCACTACCTTCATAAAAAAAAATAAAAAAAATAAATAAATAAAAACTCAGGCAAAAGCACAAAAAAAAGTGCCTCCAAGGTTCAAAGAAAAAGAATAAACAAGCTGTTCCTAATTTCTGCTTCTGGCAGGAGATCAATCAGTGCCTGTTCAAGGATGCTCTGGTTTATTTACGTGGCAAACACAAGCCAGAGAATGGAGGTGAGGACAGAAGGTTGAGTGGGTGACACGGATGTTGGAGCGTTTCATTTGGTCTCTCCGTCTGTGATCGGACAGAGGTCCTGACATCAGGCTTTGTGAGGAGCCCTCCCTCCTGCTCACCTCCTTCTTTCATGTCTGCATTTCTTTGTTCCTGTGAAACCTCTTTTTTTTTTTTTTTTTTTTTTCCACCCCTTTTTTCCGTCAACCAGAGTAACAGTGGCCTATGATCACCACACCACGCGTTGCTCCAC